GGGCTGCTGCTGCTGCTGGAGCAGCAGCAGCAGCAGCAGCAGTAGCAGCAGCAGCAGCAGCAGCAGCAGCTGCTGCTGCTGCTGCTGCTGCTGCGGCTGTTGCTGCGGTCTTGCGTGCTGCTGTTGCTTCGGGACCGCGAGGTGTACAGACAGCTGCTGGCGGCGGAAGACGCAGAAGCGCATTTCCACTTTGCCACTTTAGCAGCAAATGCAGCAGCAGCAGCAGCAGCAGCAGCAGCAAACAGCGCCGGACAGTGGCCTTTCTTTTCTTTTTCTTTGTGAAACTCCGTTCTCTTTCCTTATCCGCCGCTGCTGCTGCTGCTGCTGCTGCTGCTGCTGCTTGTTTGCTGCTTTTCTGAACTTGGAAGCAGCACTAAAGCTGCTCTTCAGCGCAGACTTCTTCTATAGACCTCTGGGCCTCCCTCAGGAGCCGCAGAGACTCCAGTCGACCCCTGCTGCTGCCGCTGCTGCTGCTGCCGCTGCTGCTGCTGCTGCTGCTGCTGCTGCTGCTGCTGCTGAACTTGTGCACAGCGCGGCGCAGCAACTTGATGATCCTGTAGGCCCCTGGGTTTGCGCGGGTGAGCAGAAGTTGGTGTTGAAGAGTGAAATAAAATGAAATAAAATGAAATAAAATGAAATAAAATGAAATAAAAAGAATAAAATAAAGAAAATAAATAAAATAAAATGAAATAAAATGAAATAAATGAAGTGAAAGGAATGCAGCAACTCTCACAGCGGGTTATTTCGACTGTCTCGACAGAGCCCGAGCTGGGCAGCAAAGCTCCCTCGGCCTCCAACGCGAAGTCCTTTGCTGCTGCAGTGATGGAATTTGCTGCTGCAGCTGCTGCAGCAGCTGCTGCAGCAGCGGGACTTGCTGCTGCAGCAGCAGGATTTGCTGCTGCAGCCATGAACTTCTGCAGAATCTTCTCAGCCCCCAAAACTCCGTAGGCGGCGAGGGCGGCGTCGGCCTCTGCAGCGGGGTGTACATACACCACAAACATCAGCAGCTCGCCGTTTGCTGCTGCTGCTGCTGCTGCTGCTGCTGCTGCTCTTCGCTCACCTTCGAGTCTTTTGCCACTTCGAAACTGCGGCTTCTGGCCGTCTTCGTCTGCGGGGGATTCAGGTGTACGTACACTCGAGAGATGCGCCACAACCGCGACAGAAACCGCTGCAGCAGCAGCAGCAAGACCCGCTACAGCAGCAGCAGCAAGACCCGCTGCAGCAGCAGCAACAAGACCCGCTGCATCAGCAGCAACAAAACCCGCTGCAGCAGCAGCAACAAGACCCGCTGCAGCAGCAGCAGCAGCAAGACCCACTGCAGCAGCAGCAACAAGACCCGCTGCAGCAGCAGCAGCAAGACCCGCTGCAGCAGCAGCAGCAGCAAGACCCACTGCAGCAGCAGAAGAAGCGGGTTTCGATGAAAGGATTATATCTTTCCATGTTTTGCAACTCCGTGAAATGCGTCGCAAAAAGCACAAGAGCTTTTGGCTCCCTCGAAAGCTCCTCCAGCACTCTGCAGGCGGCGCAGCAGCAGCAAACAGTGAGTCAAACCCTAGCCAGCAGCAGCAGCAGCAGCAGCAGCAGCAGCGGCAGCAGCAGCAGCAGCAGCAGCACTTACGCCCAGGACATGGGAAAGCCGTCGGCCACCGGCAAAGAGCGGAAGATCTCGTCGACCAGAACCTGAAGGGCGCAGCAGATTGTTGCCTTGCAGCAGCAAACTGCAGCAGCAGCAGCAGCAGCAAACTGCAGCAGCAGCAGCAGCAGCAGCAGCAGCAAACTGCAGCAGCAGCAGCAGCAGCAGCAGCAGCAGGCGGAGGCGGTAGCTGACTAGGGCGACTTGGTTTTCTTTTTTGAATTTTAAATTTTGAAATGCTTCCGAAAGCTCCTTCATCTCTTCTTGCTGCGCCCCACAGCCGCAGCAGCAGCAGCAGCAGCAGCAGCAGAAGTTTATCTTGTGCACAATTTGCAGCAACGCAGACTTCGCCTGAGACAAAAAGAAATACAATTAAAAGTTTTATTTTATTTTCATTTAAATGTTTGCTTCTATTGTTTGTTTTTTATTTCTAAATGTTTGCCCGCTTGTTTTATTATTTTTAAAAGTCTTTTGTTATTTTTAAATGTTTGTTTGTTTTTATTTTCAAATATTTGTTTGCTTTTTTACTTCAAGAGGTTTGTTTTATTTATTTATTTAAAAACTTTGTTTTATTTTATAAATGGTTTTTTCGTTTGTTCATTTAAAATGTTTGTTTTATTTATTTGAAGGAAGTTATTTGCTTTAATTCATTTAAAGAAAGTTTATTTGTTTCATTCATTTGGGAGTTTATTTATTTTAATTAAAATGAAGTTCATTTATTTTAATTATTTAAAGCATGCTTCTTTATTATTTAAAATAATAAAGAAGCACGCTTTAATTATTTATTTAATTTATTTTAATTCATTTTAAGACAGTTTATTTATTTTAATGCATTCTGAAAGGTTTGTTTATTTTAATTCATTTGAGGAAAGTTTATTTATTTATTTTATCTAAATAAAATTTATTTTAATTTCTTTTTCTTCTTTCTTTCAAGTGGCCCGAGATTTTACTTTTAATTATTTTTGAGATTCTTTTTGAATTAAATTCTTTTAACATCTTTTTGATTTAAATAAATTCTTCTGAGAAGCTTTTTGCTTCAAGTGCTTTGAGGATATATTTGTTTTATTTAGATGTTTTGAAGATCTTTTTGTTTTTATTTTTAGTCTTTTTGAAATGATTGTTTTGTCTTTATATTTTTAATCTCTTTGAAACAACTAATTAATTAATTAATTAATTATCTTTTGCCCCTAATTAAATGAAGAAGATAATTGCTTTGAATTTTAGAGATGTATTTTTATTTAATTATTTTGAAGACTTTTTTGCACAAATTGTTTAGTGGGCATTTTTGTCTTTATTTAACTTATTGTTTTCAGAATCAGTTCGATTTAACTCAGCATTTGAAAAACACATTTGCATTTATTAACTTGAAGCCCTTTTAAAGAATTAAATGGAATTAAATGTTTAAATGGAATATTTGCATTAATTCACTTTCATGGAAATCTTTCAAACGAAATATTTAAATGCGCATGCATGCACCCCAGTGACTTTTTATCCTTGCTTAAATGCATGCATCTTGCAGCGGCGAAACTACTACAACTACCCCGCTGCTGCTGCCGCTGGTGCTGCTGCTGCTGCTGCTGCTGCTGCTGCTGCTGCTGCTGCTGCTGCAGGGGCTCACGGGGACAAAGGATCCGAGCTGAGCCAAGAGCTGCAGCAGGCCGAGCGTTTTGACATAAGTGGATTTGCCGGCGCCGTTGGGCCCCAGCAGCAGCAGCAAGTTGGCGGCGAAGTTGAAGTCGAGGCCTTTGAAGTCCGCGGAGTCTGCAGCGATCTTCGGGTTAATTTGGTTCCATTTAATTAATTAAATTAATTAATTAATTTAATTAAATTAATTAAATTAATTAATTAATTTCATTAATTCATTAATTCTTGCCTGCGGAGGCGAGCAGCGGGTGCGCGGCGGCGGCGACTCGAGTGCTGCGGACAGTCGGAAGTTCAAATTCAAAATTCGAACAAGTTTGGAGTTGGAATTCGAGTTTTAAAGGATTTAAATCATGAAATGAACAAATTTAATGTTTTTTAAACCCTCAAATGAACAAATTAAATGTTTTGATCTCTCATTTCTTCTTTTTTCCGAAATTCAACTCCCAAAGATCGCTCACTTCTCCCGCTCGAACTGCGGCCGACACACCGGTGTACGTACACTCTGGAAGTGCACCGCCTGAAGCCGCCGCGATTTGCAACTTTTGAATTTAAATAATTAAATTAATTTAATTAAATTAATTAAATTAAATTAATTAAATTAAATTAATTATTTTAAATTAATTAAATTAATTCAATTAATTGAATTTAATTGAATGAAAGGACTCACCCAAAGCGCCAGGGCCAGCAGCACGTCCAGCAAGGCCTGAAGACAAATTGGACTCAGCGGGATTTTTGTTTTGTTGTAATAAATAAAAAATGCCCTTTTATGCATTTAAAACAATAATTATAATTACATTATTTATTTATTTATTTATTTATTTATGTATTTATTTATTATTTATTTATTTATTATTTATTTATTTATTTATTATTTATTTATTTGTTTAAATAAATAAACAATTATTAAATTGCTGGCAAATGTTTGGCCGTCAGTTTTCGCCTGAGGCCTCTGCAGTCGCCAGGCCCTTTATTTGCTCTTTTGGTTTTTACTTTTTATTTTTTATTTTTTATTTTATTCTTTTATTCTTTTATTCTTTTATTACTATTATTATTGTTGTTATTATTATTACTAATTATTATTATTGTTATTATTATTACTATTATTATTGTGGTTATTATTACCATTACTATTATTATTATTGTTATTGTTATTATTATTACTATTGTTATTATTGTTGTTATTATTATTACTAATAATTATTATTGTTATTATTATTACTAATTATTATTATTATTACTATCATTATCATTATTATTATTATTACTATTATTACTATGGTTATTATTATTATTACTATTATTATTATTCTTCTTCTTACTTATTATTATTATTATTATTATTATTATTATTATTATTATTATTATTATTATTATTATTATTATTATTATTATTATTACTAAGTATTACTAATTATTATTATAGATTATATTGGTATTATTACTGTTAATTATTATTGTAATTACTATTAGTGTTGTTGTTATTATCATCATCATTATCAGTATTACTATTTTTATTACTATTATTGTTATTATTCTTATTTTTATTACTATTATTGTTTTTGTTATTATTAATTATTGTTATTATTGTTGCCGTCGTTATTATCATTATTATTACTATTACTGTGATTAGTGTTGTTATTACTGTTATTATTATTATTATTATTATCATTATTATTATTATTATTATTATTATTATTATTATTATTATTATTATTATTATTATTATTGCTATTATTATTGTTATTATTATTATTATTATTGTTATTGTTATTATTATTATTATTGTTATCTTTGTTGTTGTGGTCATTATTGTTATTATTGTTATTCTTGTTGTTGGCATTGTAATTGCTTTTGATTTTATTACCACTGTTACTGTTTTTAGTATCATTTCTATTATTATTTGTTATCACTATTGTTATTATTCCTATTATTATAATTATTACCATTATTGCCATTATTGCTATTATTTATTATTATTATTGTTAATATTGTTGTTGTTGCTATTAATGTTATTTTGTTGAGTGTCATTATTATCATCATTATTATTTCTGTTGCTATCATGCTGTTAGTGTTATAGTTATTTATTGTTATTTTTATTATTACTGGCATTAGTATTTATTGTTTTTTTATCATTACTAGTATTAGTGTTTAATTTTATTATTAATTATCATTGTTATTATTGTTATTATTATTATTAGTATTATTATTATTATTATTAATGATTGTGCTTATTATTATTGCAACTTTTTGTTATTATTATTTATTTTAATTATTGCTGCTTCTACCCTTGCTAGCGTAGATCATTTGCACACTTTTGTGCTTATATTCTTTTATATAGAAAAAGGCATTTATTTACTGCAAAATAAATTAATTAATTAATTTAATAACAATAAGGACTTGAGTATTTACTTATTGCAAGATAATAAATAAATAAGGACTTTACAACTGCAAAGAAACTTGAAACTTGCATGCATGCAATTGCATGCATGCATTTGCATGCATGCAATTGCATGCATGCAAATGCATGCAATTCATTCTCACGATTGCGTCGCAGGCCATAAAAAGCCAGGGGAAAAAGGGCGTCAACTCGACCTAAAAAACGAAAATTTGTGACAACAAAGTTCCGCTTAAATAGCTGCTGCTGCTGCTGCTGCTGCTGCTGCTGCTGCTGCTGCTGTTGCTGCTGCTGCTGCTGCTGCTGCTGCTGCTACTGGTTTGTGTTGCAGCTGCTGCTTTTGCTGCTATTTTTTGGGCGTTTTTGTGCTTTCAGAAACGCCCATTTGGCGCTGCTGCCCTCAGTATTGGCGAGGCCGTCGAAGAGGTTTTTGTGATTTGCAATTATTTAAAATGCATGCAATTATTGCAAATAAATGCAATTAAATTAAATTTAAATAATTTAATTGCATTTATTTGCTTCGCTTCATTTGCTGCTGCTGGAGGCTCACCGCCAAGCGCTCAAGAGCCGGCAGCTGCAGCACGAAAATATCTCTTTCGAATTTCTTGGCTGTCTCGTTTGCGTCTGCAGTCAATTGAAGTGGATTTCTTTTTAAATTTGATTTTATTTTTATTTTTTATTTTTATTTATTTGTTTTATTATTTCCTCAAAATGGATTTATTTCATTCTTTAGTGCCTCTCGAAAGAGTTCTGTTGCTGCGGCCTGCCTGAAAGAAGGACATCGGTGAAGTAAACCTGAAGAGTTTGCGAATTCAAGAGTTTGTCGAATAATTGAATTCTAAATGATGATTTATTTATTTATTTATTTATTTATTTATTTATTTATTTATTTATTTATTTATTTATTTATTTATTTGTTTGTTTTATGTTTTTACTCGCTCTCCCCGCGTCGCGAGTTCTGTGAAGTCTTGAATGAGTTCTTTCGCCTTCTGGGCGTTGGCGGCGGCGACGCTGAAGTGCTTTCCGTGGGCGGCGCTGGAGTTGAATGAGTTCATTAAATTCAAATTGGAATCAATTTTAATAAAATAAATTCAAATTGGAATCAATTTTAATAAAATAAATTCAAGTTGGAATCAATTTTAATTAAATGAATTCAAATTAAATGAATTAAATTCAAAATCGGAGAAAAGAAAGCGCGAAAATTCGCGAAATTCCGCCAAGTCCGCAGCTGACCTGCTCTCCCGGCGAAGCTGCAGACCCCGCCTGCGAGTTTCTCGTTTTTTGCGAAGTGCGACAATTTAATTTTCTTTTTAAATTCAATTTGTCATTTAATTTTCTTTTTTAATTCAATTTGTCATTTAATTTTCTTTTCAATTCAATTTATTTAATTAATTTAATTCTCACGACTGGTGTTCGATGGCGGCGGCGAGGCGCTCGCACTTGGCCTGAGATCGACGGACTGTTCAAATGCGGGGGAAGTGAACAGCAGCACTTTTGCAAAAGAGAAATCGGGGAAAGAAAGGCCAAAAGAAAGCAAAAGGAGGAAAAGAAAACATTTGGAAAATAATTAATAAGAGAGAAACCACTGAGAAGTCCGGCTTGCGTTTATTTCGTGCAAGTTTCTTCTCGTGAATTCAACTTTCGCCGCAGCGTCGGAGTCCGACGAAACCCTTTTTGGAATTCCGCGAAAATGTTTTTCAAAAGAACTTCCGAAAATGCGAAATTAAAAAACTCACAAAGTCGGAAGAAGATGCGCTCCGGGCGCCTTTCGTTTCTCTGAAAAAGAAAAAAATGAACAGCGCTTTCCAGTTCAACTCCGAGCAGGACAACGAGGGGAAAGATCACAAAATAAAGTGAAATAAGAGGAAATTTTCGACAAAATGGCGATTAATTTTCAACAAAATTAAACAAAAAAGAAGAAAAGACTCGAAAGAATGAGAAAATTGTTCAAGACGCACTTGACTGCGGCTGGTCCACTTTGATGTGTTTCGAAATCGCCGTTTTCAGCGCTTCGACTTGCTCCGTTTGCAGAACTTGAAAGGCGTTTTTGAAAGCATCTTTGGAATTAAAAAGCGAATTTAATTCAAAAAGAAATAAAAATAATATTTTATTCCTCAGAAGATCGCAAGTTGAATTGCTGCACCTGGGACACTATCTGCGGCGCTGTCCAGGCACAGTCTGCAGCCGATCTTCGCACTTGCAACTTTTTGCAAAACTTTTTTTTCTCACTCCGACAAAATTGAACGAATTGAAAGACAAGTGCGGAGTTCTTTGAGGAGTTTGGCAGCGGCGTGGAGTCTGTCGGCCGTTTGCTGCTCCGCCTTCGCGGGCTGTTCAAAAAAGTTGAATTTCGACTGAGTCCCAGAAGGCGCCTCTTTCTGCAGCAAAAAGGCCCCCACTTGCCTCGGGAACGGGGGACACTAAAGCCAAGAAGTTCGCCATTAATCTGTCCTGAAAAAGGGAATTAAAATGAAAAAGAAATGAAAAAAAATGAAAAAGAAAAAAAGTTGAACTGCTGCTCACCGCTGAGCCCTGCAGCGCAGCTTTCAGCCGCGCGCAGGAGTGCTGCTGCGGCATTAAGAGCTCCACTGCATTCTGAAGTTCAAAATGCAATTCTAATCATTTATTTGCTGCAGCACTGCAGCAGCAGCAAAAGTTCAATTTGCAATTCTTTATTTGCTGCTGTGCTGCAGCAGCCCACCAGCCGCTGTTGAATCTCCTCCTCGCTGTCCAGCGGCCTTCGGATGTTCGCGCGCAGCAGCTGCAGCAGCAGAGCTAAGATCGCCAGCAGCAGCAGCAGCAGCTGCAGCAGGAGAGCAAAGAACAGCAGCAGCAGCAGCAGCAGCAGCAGGAGAGCTAAGGACAGCAGCAGCAGCAGCAGCAGCAGCAGCAAGAAAACATGCGAACCCTGGCGCCTGCTGCAGTGGAGGTGAAGGGCTGCAGCATTTGGAAAAGGCTGCTGCGGCGGCCGCTGCTGCTGCTGCTGCTGCTGCTGCTGCTGCTGCTGCTCAAGAGCTCGAGGCCCTCCACAGCTTTGCTGCTGATGTAAACTCCCGGCAGCAGCAGACGGCTGACGCGGGCCCTGTGGGGCAGCAGCAGCTGCGGCTGCGCCTGCAGCAGAAGGGCTTAGAGAGCAGCAGCAGGGCTTTGGGCTTTCAGAAACGAACCGCGAGAAGACCTGCGAGCTGCGAGCATTGCTGCTGCTGCTGCTGCTGCTGCTGCTGCTGCTGCTGCTGCAGCTAGCGAGTTCAACTTACTGTGGACGCCGCGACTCTCCATTCCTCTGAAAAGAGAAAATTGAAAACTGAAATTCATTTGGAGCTCATTAGAGCAAGTTGTGTCTCACCGGAGCCTTCGCAGCAGTAGCTGCTGCTGCTGCTGCTGCTGCTGCTGCTGCTGCTGCTGCGCTGCAGCTGCTGCAGCGCAGCAGCAGTCAAGAAAGCGGCGCCGGAGTCTGCAGCAAAAAGCCGCAAAGGGCCCCGCCGGAGTTCAATTTGCTGCTGCGCAGCGAGGGCCTGCAGCACTGGGGCTGGGGTGTACATACACCTCAAAACCCCACACTGCAAAAAACTTACGCGCCAAAGTCCCTTTCGGGACTCCAGAGTTTGGCAGAAACAAAAAAGAAGTTTGCTGCAGCAGCAGCAGAAGGCGGCGGCAAATTGCAAACTCTGCAGACACAGCCATTTGCAAAAGGCAGCAAAACAAAAAAGCAGCAGCAGCAGCAGCAGCAGCAGCAGCAGCAGCAGCAAGAGGAAAATGGAAATTTAATTTCAAAGACTCGCTTACCCTCCACCAGCTCCAGCTGGATGCTGCCGTCGGCGTCGTGCTAAAACCAGCAGCAGCAGCAGCAGCAGCAGCAGCAGCAGCAGCAGCAGCAGCGCAGTTCATAAGTGCAGCTTTTGCTGCTTGGGCATTTGGCAAGGACTTACCGTGCCGACGCCCCAGAGCCGCGTGCTGCTGTCGAAGTAGAGACAAACTGCTGCTGCTGCTGCTGCTGCTGCTGCTGCTGTTGCTGCTGCTGCTGCGGTTTCAGCGGAAGTGTTCGCGCTGCTTCTCGGGCTTTTCTTTCAGTAGAGATTTACCTGAAGAAGAATCTTCTGCTGCAGAAAGCAGGCCCGAGGAAGTGTCTATTGGGCTGTTTAGCTGCGAGGGCTCTCTGCAGCCGCGCTGCTCTGCTGCAGCAGCAGGCGCTGCAGCAGCAGCAAACGCTGCTGCAGCAGCAGACGCTGCATGCATTCCGCACGGCCTTTTGGGGCTGGGGGGCTCATAAAAGGTCAAGAGAGTGCCGTCTGCTGTGAGGTGAGTTGAAGACGCCACGGGGCTGCTGCTGGGGGACTCGCTTTCGCAGCTGGCGGCAGCAGATTCAGCAGCAGCAGCAGCAGCAGCAGCAGCAGCAGCAGCAGCAGCAGCAGCAGCAAATTCAACTTCTGGCCGCCCGCGCCGAGCCGCAACGCGAGAATCGAGGCTTTCTTCTTGTGAATAAACTGAAAGTGCTGCTGCTGCAGAAGGCTGCAGCAAAATGCAGAAGCAGCGCGGCGTACCGTGGAGAGTTTCGCTGCAGGTTTCTGCACAGCTGCTGCTGAAATACACGGAAGTCGACAAGCTGCTGCTGGCCATTTTCGAGACTCTGGCGAAGCAGTTAAGTCCAAAAAGAAAAAATAAACTCTAGGAAGTTTGCAAAATAAAAATGGGAAGTGTTCTACCGCGAGAAACGTGAATTGCAGCGCGCCGGCGCGGGGTGTACAGGCACCTCGTTCAACTTTCGCGCCTCCACTTTCTCGATCTACGAAACAAAAGAATTCTTTTTCCGTTTCTTTTTTAAAATGCATTTTATTTTTCTTTTTGTTGAACATTTCCCGCGAATTGCGGCGTTTCTGCGGCGCGGCGTTCGAGAAAGCGGCGCCGCGGAAAGCAAAACTGATCTTCGCGGATCCGCAGCGATCTCGGGCACTAAACTGCGGCTAAGAGCTCAACTTTTCGAAGACAGAATTAAAAAGGTTTATTAAATTGAAATACTTCGAAAGAAACTCCTCAACTGCAGCTTTCCCTGACTTCTGCACCGCAAGAGTCTGCACAGCTTGACAAAGCCCCAGGCGGCAAGCAAAGAAAGCAATAAAGAAAAACTGCAATTGCCTCTGCAGGGCAATCCTTCAAGAACAAGTTTCGCTTCCTCCGCCCTGCATGCATGCGCATGCATGCATGCATGCATGCATGCATGCATGCATGCATGCGCATGCAAACGCATGCATGCGCATGCATGCGCATGCAGGCGGAGGCCCCGGCCCCGGGAGGTCTGCGCAGCAGCAGCAGCAGCAGCTGCTGCTGCTCGCGGGCCTGACTGCAGCAAGGAGGACGAAGGCCTTCTTTTGGCCTTTGCGCCCTTTTTGTTTTGCTGCTTCAGTTGTCTCAGGCGCCTCTGTTTGCCTCCTCCCTCTGGCTGCTGCTGCTGCTGCTGCTGCTGCTGCTGCGGCTGCTGCTGCTGCTGCTGCTGCTGCTGCTGGGACCTGAGAAGCAGGCAGCCCCGCCACTCAGGACTTGTTTTCTTTTTCTGCCTCGCGAGGGCAGCAAGCCCAAACAGTGGCAGAGTTTGCTGCTGCTAGCAGCAGCAAATGGCATTAAAATAAGCAGCAGCAGCAAATGGCATTTAAATGAGCAGCAGCAGCAAATGGCACTTTAAATAAGCAGCAAACAAAGTCTGCTGACTTCGCCAGAAATGGTTTGCACAACAAATGTAAAGATTACATTTCGCTTCGCCGCTGTAGAGACACCCCACGCTCGCGCACCACTTGCAGCGCCTTTCAAAAATGCGCAGCAGCAGCAGCAGCAGCAGCAGCAGCAGCAGCAGCAGCAGCAGCTTTGCGTCAGCTGCTGCAGCTCAAATCATGGGGTCTTCTTCCTCCCCGTCCGCCACCGCTGCCTTCGCCGCCTGCACCACCAGCACCCGCCCGTGTTTGGTGCCGGGCACGCAGCCCCCGTTTTCGTCTTCTTCGCAGATCTGCAGCAGCAGCAGCAGCAGCAGCAGCAGCAGCACAGCAGCAGCAGCAGCAGCAGCGGAGTTTGGGAAGTGTGAATTGCTGCGGTTCGCGCAGCAGTGCGTGGAGGGCGGGCAGCGAAGGCCCCGAATGCCTGCGCGGGAAGGGCCTGAGGCGCGCTGCTTAGGGTTTAGGGTTTAGGGTTTAGGGTTTAGGGTTTAGGGTTTGGGGCGGGAGCGGGGCACTGACGATGAGGTTGAGCTGGTTGGGCTGGTTGGGGGCCCGCTTGAGTTCGGCCTTGTGGCCTCTTTTGAGTTTTGCAGAAAGAATAAGTGGAGCGATTTTGGCAGTGACGTACTTCTCGATGTACCTGCGGTGTACGTACACCCGGAAAGTGGAAGCGCGTCGAAATTCGCTTTCGCCGCCAAATCGGCGCGAAAAAAGCTGGAAAGGCCGCGGAAATGAATTAAAAATAATAAAAATAATAAAAGTGCTTTAATTATCTGTCGCTGGCGCTTTTTCGGCGTCGAAAGCCGCGGGATCGCCCGCGCTGAGGTGTCTGTACACCTCAGACTCGAACTCACTTCGCCATCCGCCGGCCGCCGAACTTGTGCGACCAGGCTCTCTCCAGAATAAATCCTTTTGCAGAGTCCGAAACCACCAAAGTAATTCCTCTTTTTTTCAATTCTTTCGTCAAATGAGTGAACATCAAGTCCAGAACTCCCCGCATTGCGCTGTCCGTCAAAGGCTCGAAAATCTGCAGCAAACCACACCCAGCAGCAGCAGCAGACCGCGCGGCTTTTTCTGCTGAAAAGAATTAAATGCAAATAAATTAAATTCAAATAGATTAAATTCAAACAAATTAAATTCAAATAAATTAAATTCAAACAAATTAAATGCAAACGAATTAAATGCCAAACGGAAACAAATCGAATTCGAACAAACAAAATGAGAAAATGAAATCGAAAGGCAAAAGAGCATCCGAAGAGAAGACTTAGAGAAGCAAAGGCAGCAGCAGCACAGCAGCACAGCAGCAGCACTGCAGCAGCAGCAGCAGCAGCAGCAGCAGCAGCAGCAAACTGACGACAATCTTGGTCATGCGGCCAATGACTTGGGGTTTGAAGTAGCCGAGGACTTCCTGCATGACTTTTTGCCGCATTTTGGCGAGCACTTCTTTGGGAGAGTTTCCCAAGTTCCACTGTTCGTTTTTTTTCTTGCTGACGGCCTGCGCAGCAGAAGGCTTCTTGTCTTTGGCTTCCTGGCTGTTTGCTGCTGCTGCTGCTGCTGCTGCTGCTCCTGCCTTGGCCAGCGCGAACTTCTCCAGGCTGTTTTTGTCTTTGTTGAAATGCGCCAAAGGGGCCACTGCCCCCTCCGCCATCTGTCTTGCTTCTCTGTAGCCTTCCAGAATAAACTGTTGTCCAATGTTGGAAGTCATAATTATAATTGTGTTCGTGAAGTCCACTCGCACGCTCTTCGTGTCCGTCAGGTGGCCCTCGTCCAGCATCTGCAGCAGCAGCAGCAGCAGCAGCAGCAGCAGCAGCAGCGGCGGCGCGAAACGGCTGCAGCAGCAGCGGCGGGGGTGAAACGCCAGCGAAAGCAGCGGCAGCGGTGCAGCAGCAGCAGCAGGGGTGCAGCAGCAGCAGCAGCACGGGTGCAGCAGCAGCAGCAGCAGCAGCAGGGGTGCAGCAGCAGGGCTGCAGCAGCAGCCCCCGCCGCTTCCCCGGCGCCCCACCGCCGCAGCAGCAGCGCAGCAGCAGCAGCAGCAGCAGCAGCAGCAGGGGGTGTTTGGGGGGTTCCCCGAGGTCCCCGGAGCTGGGGCTTGGCGGGCCCTGCAGCAAACTGGCTGCCGGGAGCAGCTAGCAGCAGCAGCAAGCAGCAAAGCAGCTGCTTCTCTCACCGGCAGCAGCAAAGACCACAAGTTTTTGTGGGCGTTTTCGACTTCGTCAAATAACACAACACTGTGGGGCTTCTGCCGCACCGCCTCCGTCAGCTGCCCGCCCTCGTCGTTGCCCATGTACCCCGGCGGCGGGCCAATCAGCCGCGAGATGCTGTGGGCTTCTTGGTACTCCACCATGTCGAGTCTAATTAAGTTCTTTTCGGAGTGAAATATTTCTTCCGCCAGCGCCTTCGCCAGCTCCGTCTTCCCCACGCCTGCAGCGCCGCAAGCTCCGCTTCACAACGGTGGGCGGGAAGCAGCAGCAGCAGCAGCAGCAGCAGCAGCAGCGGCGGAGCAGCAGCAGCAGCAGCAGCAGCAGCAGCAGCGGCGGAGCAGCAGCAGCGGAGCAGCAGCAGCAGCAGCAGCGGCGGAGCAGCAGCAGCGGAGCAGCAGCGGCGGAGCAGCAGCAGCAGCAGCAGCAGCAGCAGCAGCAGCAGCAGCAGCAGCAGCAGCAGCAGCAGCAGCAGCAGCAGCAGCAGCAGC